GACGTACTTGACTAACACAGATTTATCTGAAATTCTACAACATGGCATGGCGGTGGTTTCGATTGTTTAAATCAGCCTAAGTGAATCATTACATGGAAATGAACTGCTTTAAAAATCTGCCAAAAATCATCAGCAGTTTTAAATATCTAAATTGTTTTACAAAAAAATTGGAAATTACAAACATATTTCAGTTGGGGAAATTCTAAACATCAATATCTATACTGGCTATAGATCTAAACGATCCTCATTGGGATACTTGGAGATTGACTGTCAAAGTGCTGACTTTGGAGATTGCCTGTGATAGTGCTGACTAGCTGACAACTTACCTACACAATCTTCAAGGAACACTTGGAGATTGACTGCTGTTGTGCTGACTAGCTTCTAAACGATCCTGGAGAGAGCGCTTGGAGATTGACTGTCGTAGTGGAAACTAGCTTGCTACATACCTTAACGATTCTCGTGGGAACACTTGGAGATTGACTGCTTTTGTGCTGACTAGCTTCTAAACGATCCTGGAGAAATCACTTGGAGATTGACTATCATAGTGCTGACTAGCTTGCTACATACCTAAACGATCCTCGTGGGAACACTTGGAGATTGACTATCATAGTGCTGACTAGCTTGCTACATACCTAAAGGATCCTCGTGGAACATATGGAGATTGACTGGCATAGTGCTGAATAGCTGGCTACATGCCTATACAATCTTCGAAGGAACACTTGGAGATTGAGTGTTATTGTGCTGACTAGCTTTTAAACGATCTTCGAGAGAGCACTTGGAGATTGACTGTCATAGTGCCGACTAGGTGGCTACATACCTAAAGGATCCTCGTGGAACACTTGGAGATTGACTGTCATGGTGCTGATTAGCTGGCTACATACCTAAAGGATCCTCGTGGAACACTTGGGGATTGACTGCTATTGTGCTGACTAGCTTCTAAACGATCCTGGAGAGATCACTTGGAGATTGACTGTCATAGTGCTGAATAGCTGGCTACATACCAAAAGGATCCTCGTGGAATACTTGGAGATTTACTGCTATTGTGCTGACTAGCTTCTAAACGATCCTGAAGAGATCACTTGGAGATTGACTGTCATAGTGCAGACTAGCTGATTACTTACCTACACAATCTTCGAGGAACACTTTGGGAACACTTGGAGTTTGAGTGTCATAGTGCTGACTAGCTGGCTTCATACCTAAAGGATTCACGAAGGACACTTGGAGATTAACTGTCATAGTGCTGACTAGCTGGCTACATACCTACACAATCTTCGAGGAACACTTTGGGAACACTTGGAGTTTGACTGTCATAGTGCTGACTAGCTGGCTACATACCAAAAGGATCCTCGTGGAATACTTGGACATTTACTGCTATTGTACCGACTAGCTTCTAAACGATCCTGGAGAGAGCGCTTGGAGATTGACTGTCATAGTGCTGACTAGGTGGCTACATTCTTAAACGATCCTCGTGGGAACACTTGGAGTTTGACTGTCATAGTGCTGAATAGCTGGCTACATACCTAAAGGATCCTCGTGGAACACTTGGAGATTGACTGTCATAGTGCTGACTAGCTGGCTACATACCTAAAGGATACTCGTGGAACACTTGGAGATCGACTGTCATAGTGCTGATTAGCTGGCTACATACCTAAACGATCCTCGTGGGAACATTTGGAGATTGACTGTCATAATGCTGACTAGCTGGTTACATACCTAAACGATTCTCGTGGAACACTTAAAGATTGACTGCTTTTGTGCTGACTAGCTTCTAAATGATCCTGGAGAGAGCGCTTGGAGATTGACTGTCATAGTGCTGACTAGCTGGCTACATACCTAAACGATCCTCGTGGAACACTTTGAGATTGACTGCTTTTGTGCTGACTAGCTTCTAAATGATCCTGGAGAGAGCGCTTGGAGATTGACTGTCATAGTAGTTGGATACATACCTAAACGATCCTCGTGGAACACTTGGAGTTTGAGTGTCATAATGCTGACTAGCTGGCTACATATCTGAACGATCTTCGTTGGAATACTTGGATATTGACTGTCATAGTAATGACTAGCTGGCTACATATCTTAACATTTAGAGTTTGACTATAATAGTGCTTAGTAGTTGCTTTATATCGTGTCAATTCTCGTGGGAACGCTTGGATAATGACTGTCGTATTGCTTCGGAGAAGACATTTTAGATTATTAAATAAGATCCATAAAACTTTACGCATCATCTTTTTTTGAAATTTCGATTAATTTTTTAAGCGAAAGGTAGTTAGTTGCATTTATGTCAAGTTTTGAATGTCAAACAATTTCCGAAGAAAAGGTATAAATTGAACAATTAATAATATTTATTCCATCAAAGGTTGGGTCGACCTCAAGAAACTTAACCGATAAGAATGTGGTCTTCTCGTTCTGTGGCTCGACTCGATCTTATCAATCATGCTACTTTCTGTGAAGAAGAAAATTACAGTAACTAATAATACATTATCGAAATGACCACACCCTAAATGTGCTTGCCAATATTAGGAGAATGGATGTCACTCGTCATAATTTACTCTCTCCTGTAGGTGCAATCGACGCCCGGGGAACCTCAACAGAGATATGTATTTAAGAACATCTTGAGGAGGACACAAACACTTTAATTGCATACACACCCAGGTTGTAATCGACAATCATGATTACATCGTTTTCTGGGACGTCAGGTGCCCAGCAGTACAGGGTCATGCATCAAATCGGAATAGACCAATCGCTTCTTTTCTCGTTCAATATGAATTTTCTCTGGGAGTGGGATAAAATATATCAAGACCGTTATTTTGTTGAGATGCCTTACACCAGTCAGCAGGTAACCCGAAAACAGGAACACCATCAGAGAATAACAGGGGAGGATCCAGCCATTTTTTAAGGGGTCCCAACCCAGGATAAAGGGGAGGATCCAACCATATGTCGCCATTCAAAAGCATTGATCGTAAAAAAAAATATTGATTGTGTGAATAATATTACTTATTGATTCGTATACAATCGAATAAACATGTCTTAGACATGAAGTTGTATAACATAACCTCTTCATATTGCAAAAACGTTTAACGAGAAGAATTACTTCGCAATGCAATCCTCGAACTGTTTCTTTCGTCATACAACATAAAACAATAACAGATATTACAAAAAAAATCATAATGTAACATTGCCAATGTCTTGTGAAAACATGATGTTGACATTGTAGAAGTCTGGTGAAAACATACTGTTAGGCCGTACTTAGACTTATAACTTTTTATACATTGTGACTATGATCAAGAGTTGTCTCATTGGCACTCATACCACATCTACTTATTTATGTTAACATTGTTGATGTCTTGTGAACGATTGATATTTCTGGAGCATCTTGTAAGAGATCGAGGGTGAATAATTTACTAACAAAAAGTCAAACGTGTTGCATTGGATAATAAGTGTATGTGTTGATAGCTTGGAAACAACATGAGAGATTAAAAATCATAAATAATGACCCAAACATAACAGTTGAAATAGTCTTAGATCACCAATACCCGAATAATCTAAATCTTTGTCACCTAAGACTATTTGAACATTTGAATTGGTTCCGCTTTTGTTTTTTTAATGTGTCGATATGTGTTTTGTTTTGTGCTTTTTTGTCCAAAAAATTTCAATGGTCACCTCTGAAATCATATGTACCGTTTATAGTAAAATTACATTAGTCATGTTGATGTACATGTTACTATACTCTTTTTGATTTTTATGGGGGCTAGGATGAAATTTGAAAAAAAGGCAGGACAGGAGATTTGAGTTAAAAAAAAAAAGGCATGATGAGCAACTTTGTAAAAAAAAAGGCAGGATGACAATTTATGTAAAAGAAGTCAGGATAAACTAATAAAAAAATGGCAGGACCGAATAGAGTGAAAAATAAAAAGGCAGGACAGAGATTACAATTAAAAAAAAAATGCAGGACAAAATTTTTCATCCTAGCTCCCCCCCCCCCCCCCCCCCTCATAAAAATCAAATGGTAGCTCCCTTAAGTGAAGTTGGTGATGAACTATTCATTAGAATTTCTTTTCCCTGATATTATTTAAAGACAAACCATTTCTTTCAATCTGATACAAAATAAAATACACCAATGAACCAATATGGTATGTATAACTCTGTTTTCAATATCAGTAAACAGTATGGTCAGTATGACTCTGTTTCCGATAACAGGAATAGTAGGGTCAGAATAAGTCTAATAAAGAAACAGTAAGGTCAAAATGATTCTGTTTCCAATTTCAATAAACAATAGGGTTCGTATAGCTCTTATTCCAATATCGAAAAAGACCAGTGTTTTAACAGCATGCGAGACAACAATTTCATTATGCATTTTTCTCATTTTTGCAAGAATTAAAAAAAAATACACGGCTGGAAATTGTGAAATCTTTGGTTCGTAATCAGAAAATCAGTTGGAAGGGGAAAACGTTAAGAAGCTTTACAATAAATACCAGTCGTGTAATGAACCTTACTGATAACACAGTATTATGATATAAATCAAAATATTATGATATAAATCATTGTTATGGAAACAAAATTATGCGGTAGAGAAAACAATATCGGTTTAATGACCTACACTGGCTGGTGTTCGAGCGGTTGGAGATAAGCTGGTTTAATATGCTAAATAAATACAATATCGATTTAACGGTTTACATTCGTAATATGTAGTGTATACTGTTGTTTGTATTTTGGTCGTTTTTTTGTTTTTTTTGGCATGGCATTGTCATTTCGTTTTCTAGTCTGATTACACCTTTGGTGTCTTCCGCCTCTCTTATGAAAATTTACCCTACTTCAACATCTTCGACATCTTACAACATTTCCCATTACGACATACGCGTTTTTTACACCATTCAACAGCTGTAATATCACTGAACTCTTTGCATTGGACATGTCTTAAAATTTACAGGAAAAGTCACCATATGTTATATTATTGCGCGTTTTAATAAATGCAATTAATCGTCTTTCTTTTTTTTTTCCAGTTGCCTTCATATGTGTGCCAATGACCGTTGCAGAGAAGATCTATAAACTATGGATATATGGAGATGCGTTATGTAAATTAGTTCCATATCTTCAAGGTAATTGATTATATATAACCAGTTGGAATTTGTTTCACATTTTTAAGGTATCACCAGTCGTCTCCCAGTCCTTATGTCAAATAGCTTTTTTTGATGTTTTTATTTGCTACGTTTTCTCACTGTTTCTAAAGCTCGTACAAATAAATTTTATATTTTTTTACAATGTACGGATATTGTTTATTTATATCATAACAAATTCAAAGCGTTCGTAATCCTATTGAAACTAATTCGTTTATACGCCCTTTCACGTTTAATGATAACAGTATTAACATACTATCTTTCCATGACAATAAAGAAATAGGCATCAAAGAGTTTTCCCTTTGTTTGAAAAAACTCATCGAAATAGAATCTTTTGAGACGCTATGATCATTTATCATTCTATACGACAAAAACCAGTCAATTGTAAAGAACTTCATTTTAAACAGTGATCTTAATAAACAAAGTGCAGAAATTAATGAAAAGATGTTCGTGTTTCATTATTAGAAACAGATTGAAGCAGAACATGGCCATAAAACAATATTCTATAATGAGAATGAGTATATTAGAGATCAATTACTTCAATAAAAATGCAACTTTAAGTTCCATTGATAAAAGTTGAACAGCTGGTACCATATGTTTGTTAACTTTTTTATATCTTAGAGTAGGTTGGATATATGAACACGGTTATATTCTCTCGTCTAAACACATATATCCCAAGATAAAAAGAAGTGTATTTGTTTGTTTTGAATAATAATTTGAAATTTACATTGGATATTAAATTAGTAAAACAATAGCTAAGAGAAACACCAGGGGCAATTAATTTGATCACTATTCTAACAATTGATTTTTTTTTTCATTACAAATTGTGGTGTTAATGCTGATCCTTTTTTAGCCATAGTCTTGACTTTATTTATATACCGTCTACGAAGAAAGATTTGGTATGCAAACCAATAAGACATCAAAAATTGACCAACACACATAACGGGAACACCTTCAGAAACAATGAGACGTCAACAATTAACCAACACACATAACGGGAACACCTTCAGAAACAATGAGACATCAACAATTGACCAACACACATAACGGGAACACCTTAAAAAAACAATGAGACATCAACAATTGACCGACACACATAACGGGAACACCTTCAGAAACAATGAGACATCAACAATTGACCAACACACATAACGGGAATACCTTCAGAAACAATGAGACATCAACAATTGACCAACACACATAACGGGAACACCTTCAGAAACAATGAGACATCAACAATTGACCAACACACATAACGGGAACACCTTCAAAAACAATGAGACATCAACAATTGACCAACACACATAACGGGAATATCTTCAGAAACAATGAGACATCAACAATTGACCAACACACATAACGGGAACACCTTCAGAAACAATGAGACATCAACAATTGACCAACACACATAACGGGAACACCTTCAGAAACAATGAGACATCAACAATTGACCGACACACATAAAGGGAATACCTTCAGAAACAATGAGACATCAACAATTGACCAACACACATAACGGGAACACCTTCAGAAACAATGAGACATCAACAATTGACCGACACACAAAAAAGGGAATACCTTCAGAAACAATGAGACATCAACAATTGACCAACACACATAACGGAAACACCTTCAGAAACAATGAGACATCAACAATTGATCGATACACATAACGGGAACACCTTCTGAAACAATGAGACATCAACAATTGACCAACACACATAACGGGAATACCTTCAGAAACAATGAGACATCAACAATTGACCAACAAACATAACGGGAACACCTTCAGCAACAATGAGACATCAACCATTGACCAACACACATAACGGGAACACCTTCAAAAACAATGAGACATCAACAATTGACCAACACACATAACGGGAATATCTTCAGAAACAATGAGACATCAACAATTGACCAACACACATAACGGGAACACCTTCAGAAACAATGAGACATCAACAATTGACCAACACACATAACGGGAACACCTTCAGAAACAATGAGACATCAACAATTGACCGACACACATAAAGGGAATACCTTCAGAAACAATGAGACATCAACAATTGACCAACACACATAACGGGAACACCTTCAGAAACAATGAGACATCAACAATTGACCGACACACATAAAGGGAATACCTTCAGAAACAATGAGACATCAACAATTGACCAACACACATAACGGAAACACCTTCAGAAACAATGAGACATCAACAATTGATCGATACACATAACGGGAACACCTTCTGAAACAATGAGACATCAACAATTGACCAACTCACATAACGGGAACACCTTCAGAAACAATGAGACATCAACAATTGACCAACACACATAACTGGAATACCTTCAGAAACAATGAGACATCAACAATTGACCGACACACATAACGGGAACACCTTCAGAAACAATGAGACATCAACAATTGACCGACACACATATCGGGAATACCTTCAGAAACAATGAGACATCAACAATTGACAAACACACATAACGGGAATACCTCCAGAAACAATGAGACATCAACAATTGACCAACACACATAACGGGAACACCTTCAGAAACAATGAGACATCAACAATTGACCAACACACATAACGGGAACACCTTCAGAAACAATGAGACAATACACTTGACGTAAGGAAAGTTTTAATTAGATATAATTAATACAAGTTTAAACATGTCTTTCTTTCATAATTCTTAATAAAAAAAGTATTTAAAATCGAAATTCCGATTACAAGAAGATATCTGTCATTCCCGACACAATCAATTTCCTCAGAAGATGACAAGGAGACAATTGAAGTGCGACTGGTGAAGTTTGTCTCACGGAAACCATACAGATGACCTTATTTCATTTTCACGGATTACGCTGCCGTTGCAGATACAAAATCGTAATATTAAGAAAGAGACACACTAACCTATATGGTCGAGCAGAAGCATATTACCCTATATGGTCGAGCAGAGGCATATTAACCTATATAGCCGAGCAGAGGCATATTAACCTATATGGCCGAGCAGAGGCATATTAATCTATATAGCCAAGCAGAGGCACATTAATCTATATAGCCAAACATAGGCATATTAACCTATATGGCCATGCAGAGGCATATTAATCTATATGGTCGTGCAGCGGTACATTAATCTATATAGTCGAGCAGATACACATTAACCTTTACGGTCGAGCAGATACACATTTATCTATATAATTGAGCAGAGACACATTAACCTATATGGCTGAGAAGAGGCATATTAACTTATATGGCCAAGCAGAGGCATATTAACATATATGGCCGAGCAGAGGCATATTAACCTTATTGCCTAGCAGAGGCATATTAACCTATATGGCCGAGCAGAGGCATATTAACCTTATGGCCGAGCAGAGGCATATTGACCTATATGATAGAGCAGTGACACATTAACCTATATGGAAGAGCAGAGGCATATTAATCTATATAGACAAACAGAGGCACATTTGCCTATATAGCCCAGCAGAGGCATATTAACCTATATGGTAGAGCAGAGGCATGTTAATCTATATAGCCAAGCAGAGGCACATTAACGTATATGGTCGAGCAGAGGCACATTAATCTATATAGCCAAGCAGAGGCATATTAACCTATATGGTAGAGCAGAGGCATATTAACCTATATAGTCAAGCAGAGACACATTAACCTGTATATATAGCCATTCACTGGCATATTAACCTATATGGTCGAGCAGAGGCACATCAACCTAAAAGACCAAGCAGAGGCACATTATCCCATATAGCCAAGCAGAAGCACACGGACCTATTTATAGCCAAGCAGAGGCATATTAACTTATATGGTAGAGCAGAGGCACATTAAGCTATATGGTAGCGCAGAGGCACATTAACCTATATGACCAAGCAGAGGCACATTATATAAATAAGAAGATGTGGTATGAGTGCCAATGAGACAATTCTCCATCCAAGTCACAATGTTTAAAAAGTTAACAAATATAGTTCAAAGTACGGCCTTCAACACGCTTGGCTCACACCGAACAGCAAGCTATAAAGGGCCCCAAAATAATCTATTTAGCCGAGCAGAGGCATATTAATCTATATGATCGAGCAGAGGCACATTAACCTATATGGCCGAGCAGAGGCATATTAATTTATATAGCCAAGCAGAGTCTCATAAACCTATTAAGCCGAGCAGAGGCATATTAACCTATATGGTAGAGCAAATGCACATTAACCTATATGGAAGAGCAGAGGCATATTAATCTATATAGACAAACAGAGGCACATTTGCCTATATAGCCAAGCAGAGGCATATTAACCTATATGGTAGAGCAGAGGCATGTTAATCTATATAGCCAAGCAGAGGCACATTAACGTATATGGTCGAGCAGAGGCACATTTATCTATATAGCCAAGCAGAGGCATATTTACCTATATGGTAGAGCAGAGGCATATTAACCTATATAGTCAAGCAGAGACACATTAACCTGTATATATAGCCATTCACTGGCATATTAACCTATATGGTCGAGCAGAGGCACATTAACCTAAAAGACCAAGCAGAGGCACATTATCCTATATAGCCAAGCAGAAGCACACGGACCTATTTATAGCCAAGCAGAGGCATATTAACTTATATGGTAGAGCAGAGGCACATTAAGCTATATGGTAGAGCAGAGGCACATTAACCTATATGGTCAAACAAAGGCACATTAACCTATATGGTCAAACAGAGGCACATTACTCTATAGGGTCGAACAGAGGCACATTATATAAATAAGAAGATGTGGTATGAGTGCCAATGAGACAATTCTCCATCCAAGTCACAATGTTTAAAAAGTTAACAAATATAATTCAAAGTACGGCCTTCAACACGCTTGGCTCACACCGAACAGCAAGCTATAAAGGGCCCCAAAATAATCTATTTAGCCGAGCAGAGGCATATTAATCTATATGATCGAGCAGAGGCACATTAACCTATATGGCCG